AGGAGGCAAAAAATCGCCATTTCGAGGTAGCGCCAAGAGCACCCATGTTCAGCCCTACCAAATAAGGCCTAGCCTACATTTCTTTTTTAACATCAGTCGCAGCACAAATTCGAGTCCGCCCACACGCGTTTTAATCGATTGGCTAGTGCATACCCCTGGCCCCTGCCCTCGCTTCACGAGTGACCTCCCCACTGTAGATTATTTAACCCTCACACCTCCGTAGGGCGCCTTCCATATCCGGCATCGATATCACCGTCCCTCGCGAAACGGGCTGCTTCACATGCACGACAACCAGACCTCAAACCGACAGACACTCTTAGGAACTTGGCTCTCGTCGAGCCGAGGTCCAACTCTCGAGCCACCTGCTCACGAACCTGCGAACATAACCGTCCTCGATTGTCCACGGTGGCCGTCGCAAAACCGCCGCGCCGCCGACTGCTCGGGCCGTCTTCTCTTCCTTGCCTGCCGCCCCGAGGCTCCCGCCAAACTCCTTGTCGCAATATTCGATCAGCTTCACCGCGGGGTTGCGCTCCTCCTCGCCGCCCCGCACGGTACTCTCGCGCAGCCTTTCGAGCCAGATGCGCCGAGGCACGACCTCGAAGTCTAGGCCTGCCGCCTTGAGCTGGAACTCGTGGGGGTTGACCGGGGCGACCGCCCATTAACTTCGCATGGGAGCGGTGCGTCTGCCAGTGTCTGTGAGAGCTAGAGGATGGCGGTTCACGAGCGTGTCAACGGGGAGCCATGAGCAAGTCTAAAAAGTAGAATATTTGGCTGATGATTAGTTTTGGATGCCAGAATTGCGGTAGCTTTAGTCAGAACCCAACATGTCTCTGGGATGTCGTACCCGATCCAAGCTCGGTAGCACCCCAAGGGTTAATGCGGAGCGTATCATGGCCGGGACGAACTCGACCTCGTTCCAGACCCCGTTCTCGGCGTCGCCCACCACCTGGCCGATGCGCAGCACGTAACTTCGGGCGCCCCGCCGCGCCGCGTTGAGCACCAGGTGCTCTCCCACAAGCTTGCTCTGCCCGTAGCCCGTATCGGCCGCGCTGCGCAAGTCCCCGAGCGGTCCATCCGGCACCGGCGTCACGTTGCTGTTGGCCGCCGCCGAGATGGAGGAGCAGAAGAAGAGCCTGGCCGGCTGCCCGTCTTGCCGCTCCCGCGCCACTTCTGTGGAGAAGCGGAGCAGGTTGCTCAGGTAGCGGATGTGCGGCTCGAAGCTGGCCAGCTTGATGTTGAAGTTGACGGGCCATGCGATGTGCACAATCAGCGTCACCGTCCGCAGCAACTCGTGCTGACAGAGCGGCGTCTCTGACCCCGAGCAGGTCGTTGAAATCAGCAGTCCCAAGATCCGCAGTGTGGGCCGAGACCTTGGCCATCGCTGGCCCGTCGAGCGCAAGGCCTCGCCGAGAAAGAGACTCCAAAACCCTGGCTATTGGGTTCGTGCCTCGAACCAGGCAATATACCCGTCTCACGTCCCGACTTGAAGCCATGCGATGCAGAGTATGTGCGCCAATGGATCCAGTAGCGCCGCTGAGAAGCTAATCAGGAGGAAATATTTCCTACGTCAGTCTTGTGGTGCTGCCATCTCCGTGCCGACCAGCAAAGCTTACCACAGTCTCGCCCGCGTCCGAGTATTTTTCGATATATTGCTGCATCAGGTTATTCTCGCCGAGATGGGTATCGACCGTATCACAAGCTTCCACATTTGCAGAGCTGATAGAAGTGCGGGCCGAGGTCGACCTGTATCCCTCACTGGCACTACTGTTACTGTCACCGGCGATGGTGGCGCCGCCGCTCTCCTGCGCAGCCACCAGAGCGCGCAGGTGTCTCGCCAGCCGCGCGGCGTTCTGGCAGTCGTAAACCACGTTGGCCCCGAGCGCCGAGCCCGGGAGCCCCAGGGCGCGCTGCAGCCCCCGCCGCATCTGGATCGCGCGCAGGCTGTCCACCCCGGCCGCGAAGAAGTCGGCGTCGGCCGACGGCATCGGCCGCCCCATGGCGTCGCGGAACACACTGGCCACCACATCCTCCAGCCCAGCCAAGCTCTCCTTGCACGAGGCGGTGTAGCCTCTACTACGGCTAGGTGAGGGCGGATTCGTGGACTCGGTGGTGCTTTGAACGTCATCGCTGCCGCCGCCGCCCAGCAGCCGCCGGTACAGCGCGTCGATCTCAGGCGCGAACCGCGCGTAGACCTGCGCCCTGATGATGCTCCCATTGTCGGTGCGCGGGCACGGGGTGCGCGGGCACGGGGTGCGCGCGGGGAGGACGGCGACCATGTCCCGCGTGATCTGCGAAAAGGCCTCGGCGCGCGAGTTGGCGTCGGCGACCGACGGCCATATCCGGGTCGAGGTACGCCTCCTCCTCGCCGTCGTCCCCGTCCTCGGAGGAATCTGCCCGGAAGACGAGCAGGTCCGGCACGGGCCTGTCGATGCCGACGGCGACGGCCTCGCGCACGAGCGCGTCCTCGCGCAGGCGGCCCTCGATGGGCAGCGGCAGCACCTTCTCGCCGTTGACGAGAGTGACGCGGTCGTATGACGCGGCGGCAGCCGGTCCGGCGCAGCAGGTTTGCCACGGCGGCGGGCGCGATGCGCAGGGAGAGGGTCAGCACCGTGTACCCCAGCCTGCTCAGCGCGAACAGGGGCACGGCATAGTCGACGTCCGAGGGGGGCGAGGAGCCCGATTACCTCGCGGGCGTTCTGTGTACCAAGAGGGG